CCCCCCCCCCCCCCCCCCCTTTCTCTCTCTCTCTCCTTCTCGCTCAATCTCTTCGTCACTCCGCTCTTTACCCCTCGCGCGCACCACCGACGGATCGTTTTGCTACGAACTGCTGTTTCATTGGGATCCTGGCAGCGAGAGGGGAGAGGGAACATTATGAAATCGTTGCGCGTCGTCTTAAGGGCCAATAAAATTGCACGGAACTCTGGCCGCCGGTGAAATTAATATCAGCCGGCACAGTTTCATCGCTGAATGTAACGCGGCGGTCGTCTTTACGGCCAGTTCGGAAACTGTTGCGGCCTAAATATCGCGTTTTTCCAGATTTTTCGCCCGTCTAGGTCGACCCCCTTATGAAAGAAGTTTCGAAGGCTGCTCGAACTTCCTCGAAACGGCGACGATGGCCGATCGGATCTGTTGCGCTCCGTCGGTAATTAGTCCCGCCTACGGGCTGTTTCATAAATCCCACAGCGAGCAAATTGCGAATATGGACTGGTCGGAATATCCTACACCGACTATACCCTACGAAATTCGAGTATCCTCGAAAACCAACCGCGAGCAGGTATTCTGAAACGCCCTGTACACTCCAGACGGAGCCTCTAGCCCCGATCTCTGACCCCCGACAACCTGCGAGCGTAATCCGCGTCACCCAACGACTCCCGATAATACCCGTCCATCGCCATAAACGCAAACACCCCCGCAAACAACCCTCGGAACCACCCCTCTGACCTCAGTTTCCTTTGTTACAGGTATCAGCAGAGAGCCGGAAGAAGAGAGCCGGTTCCAGGAGAGCCGGTCCCCAATAAGCTTCCAGTTAGGTAGGCCACGAGCTTTTGTTTTTTCGTCGTGGGAAGCTGTTGGTGGGCTCGTCGGGCCCACCCTCTCATCGGTCAAGCTGGCGAGCGCTCTAACCGCTGGTATGAACCCCCACCATCCGGGCCACTCCGCAGCCTACCCGCATCATCCCTCGCTCTCGAGCAGTCCGCATCATTCCGGGCCCCATCACGGCTACAGCACCGGCGGCGGGGGCGGCGGTGGTGGCACCACCACCACCCCCGACCTGCCTAGCCCGCACTCGCCGCCACACGGGCCCGCCATCGACCCAGCCACCCCCTATGCGTCCCTGCAGCCCGGCCAGGGCATGGGTAGCAACGGGCATCACCACGGCGGCGCTTCAATGATGGCCGACCATCCGCATCACCCGGGACACCCGCACCCCCACTTACCGGACCATCCCGCTTATCCACCGGTCAATCACAACAACAATTGTACGCTTAAGGTAAGCCCCGGTCGCCACCTCGTCGACAGTTTCGCGCGCGTCCGGAATGCGATTCCGGATAGAATTAGAGGAGCTTAGGAGATTTGGGTCGTCGAAGGGATTTCCGCCGGGTGGGGGGCAGAAGGAAAAGTTGGGCTATCGACGCGTCGCGTGTCTTCTCGAGCAGACGTCGCGACGGATCGTCCCGTTTCGTCGCGTTTCTCGTGCGTAGAAGCGAAGCTGCCTCGAGCGGTGTACAGCGCGCTTCAGAATCCGCGTCCTGACGTTTCAGCGTTCACGACGTTAGCCCGGAGCGTGGAAAACGGGTCTGCAGATGGTATCGCTGAATCCACCTGTAGACCGCACCTACCGATTAATTTCTCATCGTCGCTAGGAGACCTGGATTCGTACAGAGAAATCATTTTCCGTATCGCTGTACGTCCGGTTCGCTTTTATTATCCCACTCGTTGTCGTTCCGCCCCCTTCCTCTCCTCCTCGACCATATTCTCGTTTCCCGCGACCGTTACAGAATCAAACGACGAATGAAATTAAATTAAAATCCCTCGTTAATGAGGCCGGTCGAGTGGCGTCGTTTCCCGCCAACCCTGTTCCACGGGTTGAGAAGGGACGGAGTGTGAGAGAGAGAGAGAGAGAGAGAGAGAGCGGAGGGCTTCGGTCGTGGAGCGTTTCGTATCGCGAAACGGTTCTCCTCGTACGATTAAAATGCACTTTCTACGCTGGATGGTCGCGCGAGGATGGTCACGAGAAAAAGTTTTCAACCGGAAGCAGCTGGAACGCGTACGCGGCTCATTGTTCGCGTAATAACCAACGTCGGCCGTTCATTACGCAAGCCTCTTCTGATCCGTGGGGAAACGGTAATCGCGCGTCGTCACTCGTGCCCGGGAAAACGATCGAGACGACGACGTTCGAATCTCGAGGCCCCCCTCGGTAACGCGAACCGTTTCTTCCCAGCGCGAGGCCCGACTATCTCGATTATCCTGTCAACGAATCAACGTCCGAGACGACTTTTCACCCCGACGAAATCGGCGTAACGTACAGGTGTGGCCCCGGTCTGGCCGGAGGTCGAGAGCACACAGAGAGCTCTCTCGGTTGGGTAACGAGAGAGAACCGGAGAGAGAGAGAGGAGAGAACCGCGCGGCGCAGGGTCGCAGGCTAAAATTCAGAAAGCATTATCCGTGTACGTGACCCTCACTTAGCTCGCCATTGACAAACGTAACAATATAGGCATTTACCATGGAGAAATATAATTGAATAGGGGCGGAGGGGACCGGCGAGGCGACCAGACTCCCTCCTCGGCCCGTTCCCCCGAACGGCCGCCCCCTCCGCTCCGCGCAGCGTGTTTCACTCCATAATACCCGGCGCGGTCTCTGTCCCGCTCGTTCCCCTACCACGTAGCGTCGTCCTCGTTCGGCCTGGCCGGAGCTACGGATGGGTCCCGTCCCCTTTCAACGTTAGTTAGGTCCTTTCTAGGCTCACCTTTTTATTCCCCCCACCACGGACCCACTCCTGCTGGCTGGCTGGGGTACCTGAACCCGGGGCCTCTCGCGAGGCATTCAGAGGCCCAAAGCAGCCACGGACCAGTCAGTTCGCTGCTGACTTCGGTCGGGACCGGTTCGTATTTTTCCTCTGCCTCGCGGCGCGTGCTCTCTCGCCTTCTTCCTCCTCTATATCCGCCTTATCTGTCTCTCTGTGTTTCCTCTCTCTCTCTCACTCTCTCTGGCTCTCGTCGTCCCGCGCGCGACTCTGTGACCGCTTTTTGCGCTTCGTGTAGCCGCGTCGTCGTGTCGTCGCCTCCGCAACGCGTAAGTGGCTTTTTCGGGGACCGATCGCCACCTACCTGCACGTCCACCGCGGGATATGCTACTACGCTCGGGAAGAGAAGCCTGTTGGTTGCCGACGGCAACGCGACTTTGTCGCCACGCGTAACGATTCCGGGAACAACGTGTCCAGTGCAGTAGTCGCTGGAATATCGTGTCTCTCCTCGCTGGTGGATCTCGTGCTCGTTGTCTCGGTGGTTGGTGCTAGGTGGTTCGAAGAGGTGCTAGGTGTGCGCGAGACTCGGCCGAGCGGATTCGTTTCGTTTTCGTTGCTGATCTCTCGCTCGAGGACGAATGATATCGCTGTCCGCGTGAGTACGCGAGAGGAGAGGTTGTACCAGCGGCGACGGCGGCGGCCGGTCGCCAGAATTTTCGGGCACACGCGCTCTCAGTCGAAGCAGCCTGCTCGGCGGAGGTGACCATGGAGGTGCACGCGCATCACTACAGCGCCATCGCGTCGCGGATGAACCAGATGAAGTGTTTCCCTGGCGAGAAAATCGTAAGAGTCAAATATCATACGTCTTACTCCCTTCGCCACTCGCTTCGTCCTTTCGCCGCGTATTTATCGCGATCGAGCTGGAACACTCGCGAACCGGTTGCATCCTGGAAAGCCCGTATATCTCTTCCTCTCTCGTTTGCTCTTTCCTTGGATGCGTTCCACGCACGTTGCTATTCCCGATAATCCCGTAAAAGTGTCCGCCAATTCGTGCCGAGTTTACGCAGCGGAAAGTCTAGAAAAGTCGAGCAAAGTCGAGTAAAATCGAGCGGCGCGCAGCATTCCTTGGCTCGTTACAGGCGCCGTGGCTTGTAAACCTCGAGGCTCGGGGCCCGAATTCAGCGTGGATCTCGGCGGAAACGTTGGACGGTGATCCGAGTCGGAGCAAATTGCTCGGACGACGCCGGCAGTTTCGATTGCCTCGATTTGTCCCGATGCTCGTCTGTTGTTTCCGATCGCGGCCTCGCGTTAATGGTGTATCGGCGTGAATCGAACGTTCGTATTAGCCACGTTCTCCCGCCTAAATATGCATATTCATCGATCCGTCTCACTTCCCCCGGCCCTTCTCTCTTTCTCGTTCCTCGTTCTTTCCTCCTTTGCTTCATCTTCGTCTCGTCCATTCAACGAAAGACAATACCGCGGTGCTTTTTTTCTGGCCGTGTCGCGAAGATGGTTCTCATTAGGGAAGCCGTGGGGGACTAATTAAATTTTTCCAACAAGCTAACGATTGCGCAACGGACGTTTCTCCCGTGTTTGTTTTAAAACGACGCTGCTTACGTCCCTCCCCGCGCCCCTCTCCCGCCACTGTTCGCCATTTTTCCCCGACGGATTTGCTTCGACTCGTTTGCTCGCGACCGTAGGAACAATCGAATCGACGCCGATCAACGCGCCGCGCGTACCCCCCGCGCGCCCCCTACGCCCGGTGTGACTCACTCCTACGCGCAATTACGCGAGTTTCATTCGATTATAGTAACTGGACGATCGTAATTGCGTGGTAATTGCGAAAGAAGTGTCGTTAGGTGGGGCAAAAAGCTGCTAGGGAAACGATTTTCACCGGTCGCCGGAACACCGAGTTCACCGCGCCACGCTAATTCCTCGATAAATTACCGCCGCTGCTGCTGCTGCACGCGTCGCTTTCTAAGGACGCGTTTTTCTCCCTTTATTTTTTCCCCCTCTTTCTCTTCCCTTTTTCTCCTCTTTTTCCCCCTTTTTTCTCCTTTTTTCCTTCTCCTCGCGTTTACCCGAACGGGCCACCTTGAACTCTCCCGCCTTCCCTCCCCCTGTCTATTCCTCCCTCTCCTTCCTTCCGTCTAGCGTGTGCAGACACACACACACACACACACTGTCGTCGCGGCGATATTTCGCAAAGATCGGAGCGAACCGATAAGCCACGCGATCGTGGCGAGCAAATTACGCGACAACGATTTCGCGAAGGTTCCTACGGTGTGAGCTCGTCGCGAAGGCCCGCGGATATCGGCTCGATTTTGAATTTACGGCGTCACGTACGGTGTCCTCCTGGCCCTTCCGTTCGCGCGTTCCTCGCCGCTTGTTCCGCACGATTATCATAGAAATCGTTCCAGTAAATCAAGCAACGGCCTCGGAACCAGTTGCCCTCGCTGTTTTTCGAGGCTTCAACCACGGCAATACGCCGCTCATCGCGCAGTCGTCGCGCGTGTAATAACGCCAGCCTCGCTTCGAAATAGTTTCGTTTGCTCGAACAGGTTGCAACCGTCGCGAGGAATCTCGGGTACAGGCTCGGTACAGGCTCCGCGCGTGAAATCTTCTTTTCTTGGCCGGTAATTAATTTACGAGCCAACGCGACGATATTTCGCAATGTTAGGGGTGGAAAATTATTTACCACGAATCCTGGTACATAGTGTCTAGAGTAACGTATCTGTCGCGAGTTCCCGAGGTCTACTATGCGACGTGGAACGCGTCAAGCCGAGGTTAAGTCCACGAATTGATTTCCGAGTTGCATCCGATCGAGGGAAAGTGTGGTCGCTCCTTAACTCGCTAGAATCGGTTTAGAGTTTATTATGCGCCCGACAGAAATTAATGACGTTTCGTGACAGGCAAGAAAAGGCTTGCCTGTGAATTCCAGCTTATCGAAACGACACCCGCTGCTCTCCAACCAATCGGAAGCCTCCGCGAACACCCAAACAATGCGCACCCTGGTCAGCCTGTTCTTTTCTCTCGGTTTTCTCCGATGAAAGATCCGACTTCAGGATAACCAAGCCCTTTGAGGACGTAGCGGTTTCGAGCAGACCGTAGTAAATCGTAGGGCCCAGTTGCAGCTGCGATGGTCATTCAAAATTGGCAGCGCTGATTTCTGCTCAAACGCCATTTTCGTTCATTGCGGCGCTGTCAATGAGGACGTAAAACAGTCCACCACTTAACTTGA